TATGGGAGGCAAGATTGAAAGGTTCAGTGAGGCCAGTGGCCAGGGTCATGACATTACCAATGAGCCTTGGTAGCTGGGTGAGGGAGGGCTGGGGCTTGATTCTGGGTCTGGGAGAAGGAGGCTTTGAATGTGGTTGGAGGGGAAGGGGAGATTGGATGATTATATCAAAGGGGAACTGGACTGGAATTCAGAACACTTGGATTTCATATTCTAGCATGACCAACTATCTGTTAACTATGAATACATCATAGTCCTTCTTTGTGCCCTGTTTTCTGGATGTGTCCTGCCTCTGACCATGGTTTTTGGGGGTACAAGAGCAGATAGATGTGCTTGGAAAAGGCACAGAGTCCCACAGCACTGTGAATGGCTAATGGATCAGTGTTTCTGATTTCTCTGCACCTTACAAGGACATCATGGTGCTCAGTAAATATAAAACAAAAACAGTACTTTCAGGCTTACAGACACTAATCTGAAATATTCTCTACTAAATTCAAGTGAGTTTCAAGTAACCTTAAGGAGGAATGATTTCCCTTTCTGTAGCTCCCAGGATCAATTCAAAATAATAAAATTTGGGAGCCCAAGAATTAAAAATTGGGATGGATCTAAAGTATTTCATCTCAAATATCTCATTCTTCCAAAGAGGATGATCCAAATTACCCAATTCTGAATGAGACTAAAAAATTTACTTTGGGAAAGAGATTGGATTCCTTTGCTGAACTTACATCCACTGTTTTTGGAATGACTAAGAACAAGAAAGATAAAATATCCAAGCTTACCTCATGAATGAATTAATTAAGGAAACAGACATTTCCATTACTCAAGATAAGTTAGCAAGCCTTGAAATGTAAACTTCTGAGAAATACCAGACTGTCCTATTTGGAAGGGACTTTTAAAGATGAATTTAGCCCAGCATACTCACTTTACAGATGAAGAAACTGAGCTCCAGAGAAGAGGCTAGTGTAAGACAAAAAGCTTACCTCCTCCTCTGCTGAATGTAAGATACAAAGCTTACCTCCTCTTCTGATGAATGAGGACAACTGGACATGACTACAATGTATCCCAACACGGCACCTGGCTGCTTGGGACGTGTGCATGGCTGATGTGATGGGATCTGTGGTTTTATTTTTCCCCAGCATCTCTTCCTTTGGGGGAACACTCCTCGCTTTCTCTTGAGTCTGTCAGTCATGGTGCTGTTCATCATGGGAAGGCACATGACACGGGCTGGCCAATAGTTGCAGAGATTGAGCTGGAGTGGGCATGTGATCAACCAGAATCAATCAAAATCCTCTCCTGGGCTTCTTTTCTTTTCTTTTCTTTTTTGACAGAATCTCACTCTGTCACCCAGGCTGGAGTGTAGTGGTGTGATCTCTGCTCATTGCAACCTCCGCCTCCCAGGTTCAAGCGATTCTCATGCCTCAGTCTTCCAAGTAGCTGGGATTACAGGTGCACACCACCATACCTGGCTAATTTTTGTATTTTTAGTAGAGATGGGATTTCACCATATAGGCCAGGCTGGTCTCAAATTCCTGACCTCAAGTGATCTGGTTGCCTCAGCCTCCCAAGGTGTTGGGATTACAGGCTGAGCCACTACATTCTGCCCTCTCCTAGTATTTTTATTTGGATGTTATATAAGTGCTTCCAACGCTGTGGGGGCCATGCAAACCTGTTCCTGTGGTTGCAAAGAGGAAGCTCTTTAAGTAGGAGAGAATGAGGTTATTTCAGAAAGAAGTAAACCCAAGATTAGAGAGAGAGATATATAAATACAGACATGCACACATGTGTACATAGAAACATAGATAAATAGCAAGAACCATCTCCTACACCTGCTTACTTTTTAGCTTGAGGAGTTTGAAGTTTCTGTTGCTTGTAAACAAAAAGATTGAGGTTAATATGGTGGAAATATGAAGTCCCTGTGACTTTGTTAATGATCTAAAGGAGATAAGTTCATGGTAGAAGGGAAAGAAGTGAGAAAAGCTAGATTGTCCTCTGCCACTTTCCTGTAAATCTTCGATTAAACTCATTTTTCAGATAGAATGTTGGGCCACTTCCAACAAGTCACTGTTCCCTGGAAGCTCCACACTTTCTTCTGCCTTTGCAAATGCCATCCTCTGTGCGTGCTCTTGGGATTGCTTGCCCCTTTCCTTTTTTGTTTCATTTCTGGTTAACTCCTCTTCATCCTTCAAAGCATTGTGCAAGTCATTCATTCATTCATTCATTCATTCATTCATTCATTATTCATTCTTTTTTTAGCAAGAATTTATTGATTCAAAGGCTGTTCTAGGAGCTGGGGATATGACAAGGAAAATGACATTTATTTATTCATTCAACAGATCTCTTGAATGCCTGGTATGTACAAGAGGAGGGAATCCAGTGGTGAGTGAGCAAGACAAGGTCCCTACCCAGTGGGGATTATTCTACTGGGAGATAAAAGAATAATTTAGGAGTGGGATGTATATTTTGCAACTTATCTCAATTCTCCTCAATAGCTGTTTCTTGCATTTTTAAAGAAACTATGAGAAATGTGAGGAGAGAGACTGTGTCCTTCATCTCCTGTCTCCACAAGTGGCAGAGGTCCAAGGAAAGGTGGCCTGGTTTGAGCCCAGCAGGGCTTCATTATTCATAGGGGATGCAGCCCAGTTTTGGCAGGGAGGAGGGGCTGCTTGTGGGAGGAGGGACTGGGCTTCCCAGAGGCCTGGTGGACTCCCCTCCAGCAGTGGTTGGGAAGAGGAATTTAATGAGCCTCTGAAGAAGACAATAAAGAAGATCCAAAGACCTGGCCATCTGGACTTCTGCTCTTAATGAGAAAGTAATCCTGTCTCCAGAAAACAGCTGGTTAAACTCAGAAGAGAAGCCATGTATGTTTAATTTCCATTGAAAGCTGTTTGATAGGCTCCATAGGCAAGGCTGTGACAGTCAGTGCCACTTAATGAGGCTGCCATGGGCTTCTCCAGCTCAGGGAGAGGGAAGTCAGGGGACCAGGGAGGTAGGATCAGGGCAGGGAAAATGCTGGAGGGCCTGGGAGGTGATTCCCTGGGTGCAGAGATGGGGCCGAGACTCCTATGGTCAGGAGACCTATGGTGCCCTTAGAATCAGAGCTGAAGGAACTGTGGAGTTCATCTGGTCCAACCCCTTTATTAGATGAGAAAGCTGAGGCCCATAGAGGTTAGACAGCCTGATCAAGGTCAGACAGTAGGTGGTGACAAAGCCAGCAGTTAGCCCTGAGTTCTCCTGACTCAGCAGGAAGCCAAGCCCCCTCAAGTAGGATACGGGAAACTTGGCTGCTACCCCACCATATATAGACATGTTTCAAGATTAGCGTCTGGTCCTCATTCTTTCTCTCTCCCTCCCAAGAAGAACTGAATGCCCGTATGTTCCAGGGATTGGGATAGGTGTTGACGACAGAGACTTCCACGTATGGTTGCAGCCCTGAGGAGGTCACAGGCTTCAGGGGAGGAAGACATAATAACCACTAGGCAATGGCAGTTTGGTGTGGTCACGCAGGACACTTAATGACCTCTAAGTGCACAGAGCCCTCCTGGCTGTGCCTGGGAACTTCAGGGACCACCTTCTGGAAGACAGGATGCCTGTGCTGAGTCTTGAAGAATGAGAGGAAGTCCAGCATGGGGCAGGCTTTGAGCAGGCCAAGGAGAGCCTGAGAATTTCATTTCAGACAAGTGACTGGTGATGGTGTGAAGGGTGAATCTAAGAGGAGCAGGGGCTGGCAGGGGAGACCTGTGAGAAGGCAGTCATCTAAGGAAGAGATTATGAGAACATATGGTTGCAAGCGGTAGGCAGGAAGGAAAAGATTTAAGAATACATAAAAGGTAGCATAAGCAAACCTGCCAATTGGTGAAGAGGGGGAGTGAGGCAGAAGGAGGAGCCACGCTGAGTCCTCAGGCTCTTCTTCCCCAGCCAGAGTCCTGATGGCTCTCTTCCACAGCTCCAGGCTGCTGGCTGGACATCTCCACGGACACAGCTTTCTGGCCTCTCAAACCCAAAGCTCCACTGGATTCTGCACAAAATCGTCTCCCCCTTTTCATTTTCTGGTTTCAGCCAATGGTCCCCTACTGTCCTTTCCTTCAAGTCCCATTTCCAGCTTTTTGCTCCCCTTGTCGCCAGGGTTACCCTGTCCTTACCTTGGCTGAGCAGAGGACACCTCTCAGAGCAGCCCAGTGCGCCTGGCTCTCCCAGAGGCTGAGTTTTAAATGTGCATTTAATCACTTCCCCAAGTGGCTGCTTTTTACTCTGAGCAGCTGATTTATCTAACATTTAGTTCTAAGTCCAAAACACATTTACCAAAAATTCGCTATTTGCTGAGCCCTCAGAATCTAATGATGAACAGGAGGTCAGTTTCTGGCCTCCAGGAAATGCTCAGAATATAAGGAGATCCTTCTCCACTTCTCAACTGCAAGACCCTCAACTCCAGGTCGCTTTCTTCACCTGGCTTTGGTGCATAGAATGGCAAAAAAAAAAAAAAAAAACCTTATATTCTGAAATCTGATGTAAAAAACAAAATAAATGAACAACACAAATCCCCTTTGTTTTTGTTTTTGTTTTGAGACAGAGTCTCACTCTATTGCCCAGGCTGGAGTGCAGTGGCGCGATCTCGGCTCACTGCAAGCTCTGCCTCCTGGGCTCACGCCATTCTCCTGCCTCAGCCTCCTGAGTAGCTGGGACTACAGGTGCCCACTACCACACCTGGCTAATTTTTTTAGTTTTTAGTAGAGACGGGGTTTCACCGTGTTAGCCAGGATGGTCTTGATCTCCTGACTTTGTGATCCACTCCCCTCGGCCTCCTAAAGTGCTGGGATTACAGGCATGAGCCACTGCGCCCAGCCAAGCCCCTTTGCTATAATGGACCAGAGGTTAGAACAATTTAGGATCTACTGATAAGTCTGTCTGAGAGAAAAAGAATTTTGGCTTTTAGCTTTATTGTAGGTGCTTGATAAATGTTTGCAGAATAAATGAACATTGGAGCTAACGCAGCATTCATTGCATAGGTCCTGTAAGACCTGCCTGAGAACAGGGCCAGGAGCCACCCCTTGGCATACTCTACGCCTGTCACTGGGCCCAGCAATCACAGAACTCAGGACATGGTGAGTGGGTAAGCTCTCAGTTCTTATGATCACATTCACACTTTGTAAAAATCAGTGGTATTTATTTGCCCTGGAAAATAGCTGGATATTTAAAGTAGGTCCCTGCATCCTGAAATCTTTAATTATTCAAATCAATTCAACATTTACTAAGTAAGCGCAGTGCAGGTTGTTCAGAGACATGACAGAACCAGTTCTGAGCCCCTGAGAATAGCAGTCTAGGTGGTGGGGGGATGGGGGTACAGTATGTGGCAGAAGTGTGAGCTCTGGGTGCCAGGCCCGTGTTTCACCCCAGGTTGCCCCCCAGCCACTGTAGTTCGGGCAGGCTACTGACACTGTCAGAGCTTTGGGCTTTTGTCCCTGCCTATCTCACCTTAGTGTGTTGGGTGGACTGTAAGAGACTGTATCAGGGCTGGATTAGGGCTGCCATGACAAAATACTGCAGACCGAGGAACGTAAACAGATACTTATTTCCTCACACTTTTGGAGGGCAGAAGTCCAAGATCAAGGTGTTGGCAGGGTTGATTTCCTCTGAGGCCTCTTTCCTGGGGTTGCAGATGGCCACCTTCTCACTGTGTCTTCATATAGTCCTTCCCCCGTGCACCCCTGGTGTCTCTTTTTGTGCTCTAATTGTGCCTTCTAAGGACACCAGTCAGACTGGATTTTAACAATCTCATTTTATCTTAATCACCTCTTTAAAGGCCCTGATCTCCAAATACTGTTATATTCTAAGGTACTGGAGGTTAGGACTTCAACATATAAATTTTGGGGAACACAATTTTGCCCATAACAAAGACCAAATAAAATCAGTGTACCACACCACACCATACTGTACCATACCATACTGTGGTACCATATCCTACTATACCAGATTGTACTATAGTACAAAATGCCTAGTATGATGCCAGCCTGGTACATAGTAATTTGAATCTCTCTCCTCCTTCCCCTAGTGGGATAATAAAAGTTCACAGTAGGCCAGGTGTGGTGGCTCATGCCTGTAATCCCAGCACTTTGGGAGGCCAAGGTGGGCAGATCACCTGAGGTCAGGAGTTCAAGACCAGCCTGGCCAACATGGTGAAACCCTGTCTCTACTAAAAATACAAAATTAGCCAGGCGTGGTGGTGGGTGCCTGTGATTCAAGCTACTCAGAAGGCTGAGGCATGAGAATCACTTGAACGTGGGAGATGGAGGTTGTAGTGAGCCAAAATCATGCCACTGCACACCATCCTGGGCAACAGAGTGAGACTCTGTCTACAAAAAGAAAAAAAAGTTAACAATGACAATTTTTAGATAGAGGAAATGTAAAATTTGGCCCCTGTGGGTATAAATTGTCACTAAAATATGAATAAAGGGGATCCAAATTAATGAGTTGCCATTATCCAAGCTAGTTTGGAGATTCATATTTTTTGAACGTTAGATTTATTGAAGTATAAATATACATACCATATAATTCACCCTTTTAAAGCGTTCAATTTGTCCAAGGAGTTTTAACAAATGTGAATAGTCATGTAATGACCACACAATCAAGAGGGGCCTTCATGTTCTTTTGTGATTTCCTTCCCACTCTTTGGCCTTTTGCAACATTGATCTGTTTTCTGTCTCTACAGTTTTGACTTTCCCACTGTGTCATATAAATGGAATTATATGGGACACAGTCATTTGTAATTAACTTCTTTCACTGAGCAAAATACTTTTGAGATTCATCCATGTTGCTGCATCTTGAGTTGGTTATCACTTACATGGGTTTTTGTTATCAAGTAGTATTCCATTATATGGATATACCACAATTTGTTAAATCATCTGCTGGTTGATGAACATTTGAGTGGTTTCTACTTTTTGATGATTATGAACAGAGCTGTTATGAATATTAAAATACAAGCCTTTTTGGACATACGTTTTCCTTTGTTTTGGATAAATATCTAAGAATTGTGTTGCTGGTTGACTAAGGAAATGCTGAACTTTTTCACAAACTGCCAACTGTGTAGCACTTTTGCACCCGCCATTGGCAAAATATGAACGTTCCAATAGTTCCACACCCTTGCACTTGGTACTTTTAGTCTTTTTTAATGTTAGCCATTCTAGTGAGTGTGGAGTGGTATTTCACTGTGGTTTGGCTTGTATTTCCCCAAGGGCTAATGATGTGGGGTACACTTATCAAATATGTGCAAACATATATACACCTATGTCAGATATATGCTTTTCACATGTCTTATCAGTCTGTAAAATTTTTCTCAACAGTGTCTTTGAAGAGCAAAAGTTTTAAATTTTGGCAAAGTCTAATTTTTTAATTTTACTTCTGTGATTCATGATTTTTGTCTGCTATCTAAACATCTCTACTTAATCCAAGGTCACAAAGGCTTTGTCTTCCATTTTTTCTTCCAAAAATTTAGACTTTAGTCTTTACGCTTAGTAGTATGATCCATTTCAGGTTAATTTTTGTGTGTGGTTTGAGGTAAGCATCAAGGTTAACTTTATACATATGAATGTCCAATTATACCAGTACAATTTTTTAAAAAGGCGATCGTTTCCCTCATTGAATTAGACACTTTTGTCTAAAATCAGTTGGCCATATATGTGTGGACCTATTTCTGGATGCTATTCTGTTCCATTAATTTGTCTATACCGATTGTAATATCATACTATCTTGATTGTTGTAGCCTTGTAGTAAGTCTTCAAATCAGGTAGTGTCAGTCTTCCAAATTTGTTCTTCTTTTTCAAAATTGTTCTTGCCATTCTAGTTCCTTTTCATTTCTCCATAAAGTCTAGAATCAGTTTGCCAATTCCTACACAAAACCAATCAGGATTTTTATTGGGATTACTTATTATCTACGAGGAAATTCAGTTTTTATAAATTAGATGAATGCCATTCCAAATTGTGGATAATCTTTGAAAACAAGCTTTTGATATTTCAGTAAACTGGTTACTTTTAATTAGGTTGAATATTCACAAACCTATGATTGACACCTTCCCTTCTGATCCTAGGATGCAATTAAATAAAGAAAACCTCTGTGATTCTCTGGCGCTGACAACACCCTGGAATGCATCTACAGCTCCAGGGCCGCCATTTTGTCCTAAGAGGAAGCCAGCTTCCTCCCTCAGGTGAACTCTGTGTATGTTTGTGATGGTGAGGGAAAACCTAACAACCCAGGCCCAGGAGAATCTGTCTGAGGCCCTCCCAAATACTCACCCTTCTCTCATTTGTCCAGAGCAAAGTTCATCCGGTTTATAAAAAGTGGTCTCCCTCAGCACAAGAACACCGCAGGCCCCCGGAGGAAAGTCTTCTGGGAAGAGGTTAAGTAGAGGCTGAGAAAAAGCCAGGACAGAGGCATGATATTCTGGAATCATTGCCACCACTAGTGCAGGGTCTTCCAGAGTAGGGGCCAGAATTGCCAGACAGCCAGCTCCCCTGGGGCTACTCTCAGAAAGCAGGCATTTCAGCAGCAGAATTGTTGCCTGTTTTCATACTGTGAATTGTTAGCGGGTTCTAAATAGACCATTCATGTTTTCCCTTTAGCACAGAAGGGGCTTACAACTCCAAATACCGCCATGGGTCTGACTGTTTCAAGTCAAAACATGCCCCAAACCACAGCCCTTGGGTGAGAGGAAGGGCTGGCCAAGGGCTTTGGAGGAAAAATAACCACCCACCAGCCTGGATATTAGGGAGTTCACAGGAGGCTGAGTTGCCTTGCTCACAGACGCTGTAAGACTGAGGAGTTTTACCCATCGGGGTTAATCTGACAGTCACCTTCCCAACCAGTGCCTGCCTCCACCTCCCCTTTGCTCCAGGAAGGAAACCCAGGTCAAGAGGACGGAATGGTTACTCATGTCATGTGTGCTCAGTGGCTGCCCATCTCAGCGTCAGCGGTATGAACAGAGCACTCTGGAGGGGCAGGGTGAGGTTGCTTTGTGGGTAGTGGGATGCCACCTTCACTGTCATTCAGTCCAATAAGACATGTAGCAAATGTAAATAAATCCAGTGACAACACATGAACAAGTCGTTGGCAAACGAAGTTCCTTTGACACAAAGCAGGAGGCTGCTGAGAGCTGTGGGAAGCCCTGGGCTGATGGGCCAGGATGCCATAGTAACTCACAGGAACAGGTCTCTCTGGAGTGGCGTGGGGAGAAGAGGGCAGAACTCATGACCAATAGAGACTATTTCCAGGTCATCTGGGTGATGAGTAGAAAAGCTCCAGAAGATAGCAGGAAGCTTGAGAAGGCAGCCTAGGAGAAAGAAGAGGGAGGAAGGATCTCCATGTGGTAGTTGCTGGGAGGAAGGTCTGCCTGGGATCCAGGCTGGCCAGGGGTGGGGACTGGCTGCTTCTGCTCACAGTCTCAGCAGTGCTCATCCACTAGTGAGGGGTTGTTGGTGAGATTTGGTCCAGGAGGGACAAATATAGGACAGCTGTTTTGGTTGAACAAAGGAAGGCTAGGACATACTGGATGGGAGGTGGAGAAGGTGGCAGTGGTGATGCTGGCAAAGGGTGTAACCAAAGTGTGATGATGATGGCATGGTAACCCAAGGCACATGTGTGAGTGGCACTGAATGGCTGTGTGTCTGGGGACCTGAGTTGGTACTATGGCTCCATCACTTCCTGCTGTGTCACCTTGGGGACGATACTCAACTTCTCTGAGGCTCAGTTTCCCCAGCCGTAAATGAGTGATCAGCACCCATTTATAAGGGATTGTCAGGATTACGTCAGAGAACATTTAGTCACTGCTCAATAAGCAGCAGAGACCGTAGTGAGAATGGATCAACTGGGGACCCAGCAATGGTCTTGATGCCACATTTCACCTGAAGGATAAGGACTTTGCCACAGTTTGGTAGACTCGGCTTCTGCTAAGAAGACTGTCTCACTGGTAACTTGAGGGCAGGAACTCAGGGCTGAGCATGTTTCAATGTGGGAAGAGGCCTCAGTGTGCCCTGGGGTCTTCTTACGCATCCCGAGGACTCTACTTATTTCTATGTTGGAGGCTACTCAAGCTTTTCTTTTCCAATTACGTCTAAAGGGGGAAGGGGGAGACAGGTGTTTGAAGCCACCTCTGTGGCTTGTAGCAGGAGCCAGAGAGGGCCCAGGGCACCCAAATCCCACTGTATTGGCAGAAACACAAATACACAAATACCAGATGGATAATCTCAAGGATAAAAGAGGATTTAGGGTGACCTTATTTAAAGCTTCCCTTTTTCCTTTTTTGGGCAAAGCCTGGGAGTAGGGGGTGGGAACTCAAGACAGAGCCTTGTTAGAGTCTTGAATTTTCACTTGTAGAGTGATGGAGCTTTGGGAAGGGGTTTCTCCTTCATGTTTCCCTCCCATCACATGCCATCAAACCTGACCTTTAAATCTAAAACCCCATTTGTATTCTGGTCTGATCATGGGAGACTTGCTTGCCTGTGGGCCCCAGCTTGAGTTTGTGATTGACAGGAAATGTCCAGAGGAGTCTACAGCAGACACAAAAAGCCTCTGGGAAATCAGCCAGCACTCCACCCAGCATCCCCACCCACTAGATGGGCCACCAGGGAGCAGGATGGTGGCAGATCAGTCTCTACAATGGCTTTTTATTGGATTTTCTGTTGGTTGTATTCCACGCTATCAGTCCCTGATAGGACAGCAATCCACGAGAACCTAGCGTCAAGTTGATGGCCAAGTGCCGAGCATACCAATGACCAGAACTCTGCAAACAATTGGAGCAAGTGCTTGAAATCCCAGCCATGAGCCTGGCCGCTCTACATGAGGTCCTGCATATGTCTTAGGTAACATACCAGTTGGCAATTACCAAACTCACCAGGATGATTTTCTTTTACCAGGGCTCCAACCACTGCAGCCCCCATTATAGTAACAACCTCTGATCCTCCTTCCAAAGGCATCAGGTGTGTAAGTCCTGCTTTTCTGTTTATTCAGTGGAGGGGACCCTGCAGAGAGGACAAGCAGCTACTGTCCTCAGCCCCTTTAAGCCAGGGATCCCTCTTTCATACAAAGGCGTTCCTGGGGATTTGCTTTCCTTGCGGTTTGTCGGTCATGTCTTATAGGGAAGGGGCTCATCACCTGGATGCCTGTTCTAGCCTGAATGTGCCTTCCACAGCCGGCGTGTTCTGACGGATGGGGGGCAATTGGTTCGGGAAAGGGTAGGACAGGAGCAGGTCTGGGCTGTTGCCTGAGGTTAGCTCAGAGGGATAAAACTCCTGCACAGTAAAGGAGTTCTCAGCAGAGGTTAGCAGGTCTCCTGTCAGGGTGGCTTCAAGAATTCTTTCTCCAGCATGGCTTGAGCAAAAGCATATCTGGGAGCCAGATGAACTTGAGGCCTTTCCCTAGCCTGAACTCTTGGTCTTGTAGGGGCTGGTTCACTCTCTTATCCCATTTCAACAAGAGGGACGCTCCTTCATGCATCACCGGGGAGTCCCTGCACAGAACCTACCCATTCGTGGCTGCCCATTCTCACCACCTTCTCTTGAAGGATTCTTTCGAGTTCCTTTCCTGGGCTCTTGAAGCCCCTTGGAGTACGTGTTTGCAAACCTGCACCCTACCATCCCCAAGATCTTCAGAGGCGGGCTTTAGTCTGTTCAGATTTGTTTGCCGGTGACCAACTCAGTGGTATGTGGGGTGGACAAGTGGTTCTTAAACCCTCCCTGTGGCTCAGTTGCCTGAGGTGAGATGATATTCACAATGCCAATGCCTGGCCCCATGCCCAGAGATTCTGACTCAACGGACCTGAGGTCTGGACATGGGCAGTCTAAGCTCCCCAGGTGATTCTATGTGCAGCCATGATGGAGGCCCAAAGGAGACCATCAACGAATCAAAAAGGTGACTCTGACCAAGTGACACCTCCTTTTTTATTTCTCTTTCTGGTGGTGAGGAAGCAGATTCTCAACCTCTATTCATCCTTAGCATTTATCCATGGTTAATATCATATGTTTGAGCCGTACAACTCTTGGAGAACCAAGTTCTGGAGGGAGAAGCTATTGGCAGGAGTGTCTGGAACTGCACGGAAGAACTCACTAAGTCTTATGAAATCCCTGCCTGCAACAGGTTGCGCGCTCTCATTCTCCTCCAGCTCTACTCCGTGCCTGCCACGGTTTACTACACTGTAGATCCTGGCTCCCAAACTTGGTACTTGTCAGAATCCCCCATTCCAGTAGTTACAAATCAGACCTTTTGAGGGGTCAGATGTGAGAGACGGTGTGTGTGTGTGCACCCGCGCATGTACGTATATGTGTGTATTTAAAGCCCCCTCAGTGATTCTTCTTACGCATTTGCAGAGTGGGAACTGCCGTCCCAGGTCATCTCAGCTGGTCAGTCCATGTTGCTCAAAACTCTGGGGCGTGCTCTCCCCTGAGGGACTCTGAGTCCTTGTGGAAAGAGTTGTGGCAAGTCCAAAAGGGCTGTGTGTGAGGGTCTGGCGGGTGGGGGGCAGGCAGCCCTGGGGGGAACATCCATGTGGACAAGATGTTTTGTGCCAAATTGTGACACACCCAAGAAGACTGAATAGAGCCTCATCCAGGGTGAAGATGAGTGAGATCTGATCCGAAAGCAATTGTTGAGGTCCAGTCCCACATGCGGCACGCTAAAGCTGTGGGACTTCAGAGGAAGAGACAGTCTGGGACTTTGGATTAGTAACATGATGTGAACGGATGAAGTTAAAGCTTTGTCCCCTCCTTCCCATGTCATCTACATAGGAAAACTAGAGACAAGGACATAGAAATAGGAGATGAAGCCGATTTGAAAAGCCACCAGAGCTCTGAGAGGAGTGGTACCCATTCTGTGTCACACCGTCACCGTTCTCACCTGTGGCTGACTGCAGCACCTGAAGCTCGACCAGCTGCAGTCTGTCACCAACATGAAGTTGCTCCTAGAGCACTCTGTTCCTTTAAAAATGATAAAATACTACAAGCACGCAGGACTATAGAGAATATTGTCCCTGTCTCCATATTTGCTTCAGCTGATGTTTTAAAAGACTAGAACATTGTTAACCCTCACCTGTGCCATTTCCTGCCCTCTCCCTGCTCTTCTGAAATTGGTATTTATATTTCCCATGAATGTTTTTATACTTTTACTATACATGTAAGTATCCACACATAATAGATGATATGGTTTTGCAAGCTTTCAAACTTTACATAAATGATGTCTTACTGTATCCTTTGCATGTTTTTCATTCACTGTTGTGTTTCTGAGGTTTATCGCTGTTGATACAAGATCAATTTCATTATTATCTATTCATTCTTTTTCTGATGGGTGCTAAGATTGTGTCCCATTTTTTACTGTTAGAAATCACGCTACAACATTATTTACAATGTATGTTCTGTAGCCATGTCCTTAAACACAGGTGTTCCACTCTCTGCGATCATCGCGGCCCTCAGACCTGCTCCTCGCCTGGACTAGGCTCTGCTCTCGGGTCACCCTTCCCCAGCATGCAACTTGACTCTTGAAGACCAAGTTGCACTTGAAGACCACGTCTTACACCAGAATTCTCCCTGGATCATCCTTGTCAGGGATTCCTACCTTACCTTGCCACCCACACCTGGCCCCTCCTAAAAGGAATGTTCTTTGGCAGGAACGAAGAGCATGTGCTCGGTCGTAGGGTGAGGAGACCTCATGTGAGTGGTCAGTTTTAACTGGACCTCAAAGGAGGCTCTGTTCCCAGAGGGGAGGAGAAATGAGCGAGTTTTCTTAGCGAAGGGGCAAGAGCCAGCATAGGCAAAGGAACGTGGCAGTGTCAGGAGAGGACCAGGCAAATAGCTGGCCAGCAGATGGAAGCTGAGTGCTGCTGGAGAGTAGGAGGCTGGATTAGTAACATGATGTGAACTGAGGAAGTTAAAGGTTTGTCTCCTCCACCAGATCACTGCATTTTAGCTTTGTAGAAGGAAGTGGCCTGGAGACCCTGAGGAGCAGAAACAGTGGCTCACTCCTGTGCTTCTGTGGTCTGTTTCCTCACTTTTCCCCATCCGTCAAGTGTTGAGGCTCTGTGGAGTTCAGCTTCCTCTTCCCTCCATCACTCACATCCCACTTCCCATCACCGGCTTCCATGCAAGAGAACTCCAGGTTACTGGCCTCGGGCAGCAGTCCAGCTGTTACCAGTAAACCGGAAACTGACGTCACTAACAAGAGTTCAGGGAGCACCAAGAGGCAGTCCAGAGGTCTCCTAAGCTTGACTCCTCTTTGGCACGAGACTAAGGAAGCGCCCCAAGTCCCAGTCAGAGGTGTGGGAGACCAGCTTGTGTGTGTGTGTGACAGGGGAAGGCAGGTGGAGTTAGGGAGCTCTTTCAGCTTAGCTGGGCTTTGTGATTTCAAGTGAGCCTCTGCTGGGAGAAATGGGTTTGTTGTTACTGAAAGAACAAGTTTGGGTCTCAAGTTTTCTTTTGCCTTATTTGACAGCTCATAAAACCCAGCAGCAAATCTGAACTTCCAGCTCCATGGCTTGGAGGAAGAAGCCTAGGAATAGTTATCGACTCCTTCCCCTGTCCTTGGCTTGACCTCCCTCCCTCCCTCTTCTCACCACACCAGTTAGAAATCATGAAGACAATCTGTTCCCAAGAGCAAGGGTGAAGGGCGGAAGGCTGGCTGGGCTGATGGGACCAACGCTTGTCAGAAATGAACAGGCCCATGCGACAGTGAAGACAATGCAGAGGGAAAGAGCTTTTGGCTTCATGCTTTGACAAAGTGCCCTGAGACTGTATGTGCATGTGTGTATTTCTGTTCGGTAAATCCTGGAAGGCCAGTGCAGTGGGAGAATCCATATGTTTTCAGCCTCCAAAATGTGCCAGGTAGTTATAGTTGACAGTGGAGTATGTGAGAAACTATATGGCACTGGCCTCATTCTTCATGCTGCCACTCTGGCCTTTGACTTTGGAGTGGGGAATTCCTTAAATTCACACATTCCTGACCCCCTTTGTGGGTGACCCAGGCCCTGGCATACACTGTGCAATTAACAAATGTCAGCTGAATGAGTAGAATGAATAAACAAAAAAGAGTCATTGTGTAACAGAAGGTTGTTTATTAAGCACTTCCTGTGGGATCTCCTCAAGTCAAACTCATGAGAAAACGACTGCTTTTAGTAGGCTCCAGAAGGTTAAGTGACTTGTCCAAGGTCTCATAGACAGGACTGTGTGTGTGCGCATGGCATGTGTGTGTGTGTGTCTGTGTGTGGTGGGGAGTGTGCAGGAGAGAAGGTTCATGGCATTATTTTATGCATTGCCCATTCTTGCACCTTCATCAAGTCTGAATTTGTGAATTTGCTGAGGCTGACAGGACAGTGTGGGTTGTCCCTGGAAGTTGGAGGAGGTGACAACAAGGTTAGGAGCCTTCCATGTGGATGCCTGCTGTACCACATATCCTGTAAAAACAGAACATTTACGAATGGTAAGAGAAGCCCTTATGTACACAAAATAGGGAGGGCAAAAGAGAGGAGGGACAAGGACACCAAAAGGGTCTTTTGCAGATATTTAGAATGGCCTCCTCCATGAGAAAGGAAAGAAGAAAGACATAAAAGAGAACAAAGCCAGGCCAACTCTTAAAAATTATTTAATAGAAAGTCCAATGTCAAAATGTAACAATAAACAAAAATACACATGTATAAATATGTATATATAATTAGACCTATACACTTTCTCAGACCCTTTTCAAAATGGAATAGAATCATCATTACATCTTGGTGGTCAAATCAAAAATAATATTCAAGCGACATGGGCCCACTGCTGCGTGGGGGGTAGTACTACTGGAGCACTTCGAGGGTTCAAAGAATTCCAATCAGGAGAGAGCTGGGGATATTGCCAGTGTCCTTTTCTGGAGACCCAGAGAGGGAAGGTGAACAATCGCATGGCTCTGTCCAGTGTACCTGACCTTTGCTTAGCACCTGTAGCCACTACTGTCTAGGGATAGCTCTCCTTTAGGGTTTTGAATTATTTACATTTATGTTGTTTGTGAGTGAGTTTTCTTGCCTCATCTCCCAGATTTGAAGTTCCTGGGGATTCTGCCTTAGGACTTTCTTATTCTTCAGGCCAAATGTTGCACAGTGGTTTGGGGTGCTATTCTCGTGTGCTGATTTGCACTAAAGCAAAGGTGTTCAAAGTGAGATGTGTACATACCAGGAGGTACTCAAGGTCTCCCTCAGGAGTTCAGAGAGAAAATGCCAGACCTCTGTTTATAATATTTTGTGTCTTATTCATTTAAAGTTTCTATGCTGTGTACTTTTTATAATGTGCCTAATATATTAGTACAAAAGTAAAGGGATATATGCTTTATATAAATTAATAAATATACAGAGAGAGTGCGTCTCACGAAGATTTTGCTGACAGGCATGTGTAATTGAAACACATGGGGGCCCACTGCTTTGCAGAATTCATGTGCAGGCAGAGTGGTTAGGGAGGCCACCTTCCGGGCTCCCACGCTCACCTGAGGAAGCCTCTGCAGGTGTTCAGAAGAGCAGTGCTCCAAGATACCTCCCAGACCTGATTGAGAGGTGATGCTTCGTAATCTTGATGCAAGATTTTCCTTGAATGTAAGGCCATGTTCCTAAATAAAATGCAAATACCCTTGGGAAGAGCAAATATGCAGCCATTAACAACCAGCATGGAGGCATTTTGATCCTTTCCTGGCAGTGAGGTGGAGGTGAGTAGGAAGTGGGCCAGGGTAGAAAATGGGGAGAGGTGCCCTAAGGCAAACTTGGCTTATATTCCATGAACACATTGGCCCTAAGGGTACCTGCCAGGGCTCTAGTTTTTAAATGGGTGAATGTGAGGCCAAATGTTTGTTGGTTTCCAGCATCAGGATTACCGCTGGACAAACTCTAATCTAAACACCTGAGCCTGTGGAATATCTGAGTGGGAATTGCTAGCCACAGAATTACAAACTCCTCAGGGAAGAGCAAGAGGAAGATCTGGAAAAAGTGGGTGTTTGAGCTAACATCTTTCCGAGGGTCCAGAAAGCTGGTGTTGCTGTTGAGTATGCCAGGAGGGCAGCAGTGGGGGTTTTGCAAAAAAGGTCAGCCCCAAGGTGCAGCAAGGCCCAGCGTCCCTTAGCTAGGAAAATTGCCTTCAGCTCCAACTCCTCCAGTTTCTCAGGGGAACTGTCTTCTGTTTGAGCTTTTTCTTGAGTTTATGTAAACAGTGTTGGCTTATAGCTGGTATTTTGATACGTCTAATTCTTTTCCTTTCTCCTAAACATTTTCCTAATTATTTTTCTGGGGTGGGGAGGGGGAGAAAAAAAACCCAATGCTCTAAACTCTGAGGTTATTTGGAAAACCTAAAAGGCACTGCAAGTTGTCTCCATAGAGAGATTCCGCTTGTCTCTGAGCCTTCCCTGACTCACATCTGCAGAGCTCACAGCTCTGGCAGCCTCCAGGTGCCTGCGAGGTCTTCCCTCCACAGCTGTCTAGGCCTATGGGTATTTTCCACTTGCATACAATTTGTCTGTGCTTTTTAAAAATCTCCTCTCTTTGGCAGGACTCGGGTGTGTATTTGGGACCCAGCAGAGGCTTGGCCACCGGGTGTATGTGACCTAATCCAGGGGAAGGCTGTTCAAGAGAGCTGCCTTTAGTTAGGATCACACACTAGACAGGGAAGCCCTCTGCTGCTTCCCGTATATTTATTTTAGGGTGCATTCTCATCCCTGGGTCTAGGCCAGCCTGGTCCCAAAAGGTATTTTTAGCCTTGGTGGCTCTAAAGAAGGTCATGCTGACCCAGAGCTGTCCCCTTTATGTCTCCAAACCAGATCCAGCCCAGGTTAAAGTGCTTGAATTCAAATAGCTTTTGGCAGAGGAAGAGGAGTTGGGGCTGGGAAAGGGACAGAGGACACCCTGGGATAAATCATCTCAGCAAGCACCCGTGCACTGCCGCGGTGAGGAGGGAAAGCCCGGCCCTGATTGTGACCACACCTTACCTGTCTGGAGGACCTCAGCAGTGGGCTGCAGAGGACACAGCACCACCTAAAGCTCTTATTTATGCTCCCTGAATCCCCGGCAAAGCCCCAGGAACCCTCTGTGGCTGGCCCGGCTCACTGTCCTGTCCTTGTCTCTTGCTCTTCTCTCTCCCTCTACAAGTCCAAGCTCCAGCCTCTGTACTGCAGGCCGGCCCTAGACAGTCCACACTGGCCCTCTTTTGGGCTGAGTCCTGTGCCGTCCTCTCAGCCTGAAAGTCCTCTAGTAACACTCTCCCTCAGCCCTCTGACACATCTGGGCTTTGATATCACCTCTTTCAGGAAGCCCCTGATTACCAAAACTGGGCTGGCTGCCACCGTGAGATGCTCCCACAGCACTCAGGACTTTTCCCTGTAGGGTACTTCCATACTGCCTCCCTCGCTATGGCTAGGTTCCTCGAGGGTGGGTTTAGTTCAGTTGTGCTTTGCTTGCAATTAGCACAGTGCCTGGAGTGTACCAGGGGCTCCAGAAATAAATGAGTTCAATGAATGAATCCTTAAGACTGGAAAGGCAATGCTAAAAATGCTACACCTGGGTCAACCCAGATGAAGGGACCCCAACTCCACACACTGGGGTTAGAGCATCCCTGTGGAGCTGCTGAAATGCCACAGTCAAGTCCACATGGATGAGGGGGATGGTGTGTGAGGCATGCGGTGGTTGTATGTGGCTGGACCAGGCACACGACATTAGGGATGTGTCCACTATGCGTGTAAGGCTGGGAAAGGATGTCAGCCACAATACCCCAGCTGGCGGCCCAGACGAGTCAAGCAGATGTAGTAGGGCATCCGGGCACAGACAGGGCACAAAGCGAGACGAGTAGCAGACCTCGATTCTCCCATGTGAGTTGAACTCAAACTTTCTCAAGAGTGATGGCTGGGTTTTCCTGTTTCGGTATCCCTATAGTTATACTAATACTTTCCCAGACATTATCTTGGAGATTACAGAAAGGCAAAATACAGCTCTTTCTTGAATTATTTCAATGATAAATTTCCTTTCTCCATGTATCTCTCTGTATATGTATGTATGTGTGTGTACGTGTATGTGTGTTAAGAAAATGGATCAGAATCTAAAATCCTAGTAAGGCAGCTGCCTGGATTTATTCCAGGAAAAGAATAATTTTATGAATTTGCATCTTGGTTTGAATGGAAAAACTGGCTTGAAATCTATTGCAAAATTTTCTTTGCTTGCTCACCTGTCAAGAGAGAACAGTCCCTGAAGGTCTGGACTGAAATGCCAGGACACAGGGCCTATTCTCTCCCTTTGGAGTCCATGCCAAGAGGTCTCCCTAAGGCTGTAGAATTATTTGCAACCCTAGAGACCCTAAGGAACCTCTGCCTGAGTTTATGGTGTTCTTTATACTGCCTCTAAGTCTTAATCAAATTCAAAGCCTTGGGCTAAAGATGGAAGCAAAGAAGGGCGAAATCAGGGTAGAGAGGGCAGACACTATCAGAATGGAGCCTTCAGTTTAGAGGTGAATCTTCCCGAAATAGAGCAATTTCTGTGGTTCCCAAGTTATAAGGGCCATTTCCCACATCATCCTGAAGGGACATGACAGCTGCCAGGTTAGAAAGAAGCAGGATCTTGGGGGCCACATTTCAAAGGAAAACTGGACATGACAGCCCCTTTACACAGGGACATTCTTTTGCTTCCTTCGAGCAAAGTTAAGTAAGGGTGGGAGCAGGTCCCTTCTAGGCAGCACCTTTAACAGTTGCTATGGAAACATGAGTCATCTTTAGAGGATGTGATTTAAGAAGCAAGAAGAGGAACTCTGAGGAGTTCCTGGGCTCTTCCGACCTTGGAACAAGTTATTTAAATGTCTATCCAAGTCATTACATGACTATCTAAAACACGTAAACTCTCAAAAGAGATTCGCATCTAGTTTCAGTGCTTAAATGGACCTGGAAGAAACAGATTCCCGGTCCAAAGATCAAAAAGAGACATCAAACCCTAGCCCACAAGAAAGGATTTCAATACAAGTCAGTGGTCCAGGCATTGCCTTTCCTTCATGCTTGGAGATCAGATTGTCCCAGACCCCCAGGCAGGTTAAGACTTTTAACCTTAAAAAGATA